CCGTCTCGATGGGCAGGACCAAGATAGATTTTCTGTTTCGTGTCTCATCCTATCCTAGTATTGCCTTGATCTCGATCGAGACGGGAATAGGGACGTCCCGATCTTTTTTGTTTAAATATTTTTTTGTCCTTTGCGTTGTTATGTTTTTGAGCCTGCACTACTCATAGCCTCACTTTAAATTTCTAGCACTTGGATTATGATTTCATATATATTTGCTTTTCATCCCTTAGTTTCCTTTCCCTACTCATGCATTCTTCTTACTTATCAGTGATTTAATAATTCGCTTTCTATTTTATTACAGCACTTGTTTTGTGCCTATATTTCCAAATTTTTAATTAAATTCATTTGTCTAAATGAAGAGCCAGTTTGAAATTTAAATTCCAAAATTGAATAGCCTGGAATGAAATAGTCTTTTAAGTTTTTATTTTTAACAATTAAAATATGATAAAAATAAAGAATAATGATACTATGGGGGTTTTATTTTTTGTCCTGTCCCGAATTTGTCTTATTCTAAAAAATTTCGGGATGGGCTTGTCTTATCCCAATATGGCCGAGGACTAGATGGGTCAACTTTGAGCACACACAGTGTTAGTTCTAAAACTTACTAATTTAAGGATGAGAGGGACAGATAATAATACTCTTTTTGGTTTTAAATATAATAACTAATAAAGGAGTTTGTTTTAATACTAAATATAAAATTCATTTTATCTTTTAAATTTATACTTTTTTATAAGCTCTCCTCTTTTTTGGATACACCGGGAAATAAAACAACATATCTCTCCTAATTAATTGTATATATTTAGGATTTTTTTACAAGTGAGTAGTATCAAATGAAAATGATCAAAATGAATAATTTTACCCTTTTTAATTAATTATCATTAAATTAAAATTTCAAAATTCATATTTAATATGTATACATAAATTTAAACGGCTACAATTTACTTTAAAAAATTCACAACTATAATAAAAGATGAAAAAAATTATTCTATAACAACAATCTTAGCCATCGGCATCACATTCTATTTTTCTCCTTTATTTTTATTTCAATATGCTCTCAAGTCTCAATACTCGTATTTAGTATGCACAACCTTGTGTTTTATTCTTTAAAGAAATGGAATCGCTTACGATATCAACTAACAACTTGTTGGTATTATCTTTCTTATTTTTATAAATATTAATTTTTGCCTGATTTTTTTAGATTGGTGTTGCATATTTGTGGTTAGCACTCAAGATTCATTGGCAGCAGGATGGAGGAGGGAAAGGGGGAAAAAGTTTCATCCAGTGTCATTTTTGTCTTTTCACAGTTTATTTATGTTTAAATTAATTAAAAATTAATTTTGTATCCCTCCACTTTAAATTGGTACCAAACAAAAACATGGTAATCAAAATAACATGCATTTTGCGTTGCATCGCATTCCTATCTCGTGCGCATTTGAACCAAACGGGGCTATACTGGTTTATTCTTCATCATAAGCATAAACGTAAATATTATGGGAAATTTTATAACGTTCCCTTTAAAAAGTTCTCTCTACTTTGAAAAGTTTATTATTTTTTGGTTAATACAATGTTTGTTCTTTATAGTTTGAGTTCATTTTAATTTTTGGTATTGCTAGTTTGAGTTAATACAAATTTTAGTCTCTTATACTTGCTTTCATTTTGGTTTTGACCCATCAAGTTTCTTTTTATTTATAACATTAGTCCTTATAATCTAATAAAAACTTGAACCATTTTATGCCTTGAAGATCAAAATCTATGGTTTGAAATTTGAAGGATCAAAACCAAAATGAGGATAAACTTAAAGAAAAAAAATTAAATTAACCCTTCTAATTTTAAATAATAGGTTTTAATCTCTCATAAAAGAAAATAATCTGAGTTCTTATTAAAATATAAGGATCAACAAAACTTGAACAATCAAATCTATTATTTGAAATTATTTTCCCGTTATTGCTAGTAGGGTTATTCAAAACATACCTGACCAATTCAAAAGAACCAGCCTAGTCCAATCCACAAAAAAGTAATCCAAACAAAAAAAACAGACTAAACTAGATCAGGTTGATCATTGAGTTAGATCGGTTTGGTCTACTGTATATATTTAATTTTTTTTATTAAAAAAAGTTGAATTCCTTTACTAGCGAAGAAAAACCCTATCTCCTTGAACCTTCCTCATCACTTCTGCGCCTCACAGTCCTCTTTAACCCTTCTTCTTCAATGTCCTGCCGAAACATCATCTATTTGACCATTCATATCTTAAAAGTCCATCAGCAGCCCCTCTAAGTTCAATCCTCCCTCTGTCGTTTCCTTCCTCTTCCGCAGGAAGCATTGAAAAACAAAAGGTAAAAATTGAGATTATGACTAAAAAATATTATTAAAATTTTTTTAGTATAATTAAGTACTTGTTACATAGGATTGAATAAACCTTTAAGGAATATTATTTTCCCTCTAGTATTTTCTATTTTCATATATATAAATTTGTCTAATCTCATCTAACAAACAATCATTCATAAACAATCATTCATGTTAAATATTTTTGGGAGAATTACAATCAAGTCCCACAAAAGAAAAATAATTATCAAAAAGTCTCAATAACAACCTCAACAATCTATAATGACAAGTCTTACGGTGAGAATGACAACATCTAGGACTTGTTTTTCAATTGTTTTCCTTACTTGGGACCTCATTGTAATTCTCCCAATATTTTTTAATAGACTTTCTTAATTTTAATCTTAATTTCTATCCTTCGTTTTTAATATGTCGATTAGTCTGTGGCGCCAAGCCGCCAACCATGATCATTAATGCCTTCTTTTGATATGACTCTGGGGACAGGCACATGAACGTGATACACAAATCAATAAAGTTTTGACTTTTTCAGATAGATTCAGATTTCAGCCGTTAATTATTACCACTAATTTACACTACCTCCGATCCTTAATATAAGACCCGGTTTGACTTTTAGTTTGGTCCTAATTATAAGACCTCAATCCATTTTGTCTCTTATATTTATACATTTTTTCCAAGATAGTCCTTTTAATAATGATAGTTCTAACCAACACACTTAATTATTAAGAATATTTTAGGAATGACAACACTTATTTGTTACAAATAACTAACTTAACTTACTTCCTTAATCTCCTCACATTAGTTAATTGAGTCTTATAATTAGGACCGAAGGTAGTAAAATATAATTGAAAAATGGCGTGTTTACATACAAATTAGACTCTCTCTCACGAGAAATTCTTACGTACTCCAGGAGTACCACGTAATATGTGCTCTGACCAATATAAAATGGACAACTGGCATCTTTAGACCCATCCTTTCTCAATTTTTTCCAAGCTCATTAATTAATTACCCCCTCTCTCCTGCCTCTCTCCGCATCATTTATTTCAAACTTAAGCAGAGATCTCTTCTCCTTCCTTATTCCCCTGTAAAACGATCCAGAGCTCCACCTTCTTTCTCGCTGACCATCCCCCTCCTCCCGCAACCACAAGGTTTCTTCATCTGAAAGGTCAGTTTTTTAATAGTGTATTGAACTAGGGTGAGAACCTCATTAGCTACAGCAGGGCAGTGAAATTTTCAGTTGTGTGAAAAGCCCCTTGGTTCAAATACTTATCGTCATCGAGCTTACAACAGTACCTATGAATCTATAATTGTATTTCATCTGGACTTCAACTTTTCGAACTTCTCCCTCCACCGACGTTGTCTGCCTCACTGGCCGTTCGAGATAGCTGCTTGACAAGTGTGACATTGTTCCGCTTGTGCGACGGCGGGCTAGAAATTGCGGGTGACCGAAGCTCCTCCTCATATAATGACGTTGCTCCCCCAGAAACCATCAACACCGAGAACCATCACAATCTTGATCAGATCCGCGGTTCTGACGGAAGAAGAAGAATTTTATGTCCGAAAAATTGAATAAAAAATGAAGCAAATGAGAGAGAGGAAGCATTTGTACGAAGAGAGAAGATGAGGGGAAAACAAAAAAGGTGGTGATTCATGAGTTTGAAACTTCGGAAAAATTTTGAGAAAGAAGTGGGCCACTGATGCCAGCTGTCCATTTTATATTGGTCAGAGCACATATTAGGTGGTACTCCCAAAGCATGTAAGAATTTCTCCTCTCTCACACCCCCAAGAAAATCCTTTTCTGCCTTTTTTCCTTAAAATGTCATATTCATTTTTAGAAAAAATTGTATGGTTCATGACTACTCTTTCTTATATATTGATTACTGTTTTTTAGTTATTGACTATATTTATTTTTAAATTCTGATGACTACTCTTACTAAGTTATTGACTACTCTAGTAATGCGATTTACTACTATTGTGTAGTCAATAACTATATAAAAATATTCATCGGAATTTTGAAAACAAAAGTTGGCAGTAGTTAAAATAGAGTAGTTAATAGCTATATGGAAGTAGTAACCGATAATAAGGATAATGTTGTCATTTTACAAGATTTGAAAATTCCAAAATGATACCTGAGGTCTGAATTGAGATTTTGAAATTTACCTACCCTAATTTGTCATTTATAATTTTGAGGATATTTTACTATTTTTTTCCCTTTATAAAATAGGAAACTACCAAAAAAAATTTAAGATATCTTGTAAATGTTTCCGATTACAATGTACTCCACTTGTTTTTTTATGAAAAAAAAGTAAGTACTCCTCCGGTCCTTATTATAAGACCCAATTTGACTTTTTATTTGGTCTTAATTATAAGACCCAATCCATTTTCTCTCTTATATTTATGCATTTTTTTCCAAGATAATCCTTCTAATAATGATAGTTTTAGCCAATATACTTAATTAGCAAGGATATTTTAGGAATCACAACACTTATTTATTATAAATAACCAACTTAACTTACTTCCTTAATCTCTTCAAATAAGTTAATTGGGTCTTATAATTAGGACCGGAGGAGTATTATATTTTCTCGTGGCGATATTTCCCGACGTCCTTCTCACTTTGCTCCATTCAATATAAACAAAGAGGCACCACGCAGTTGGCAGAGAAGTTAGAGGAGATGGAGGGAATTCAGCACAGAACAGTGGAAGTGAACGGCATCAAAATGCATGTTGCCGAGAAAGGAGAAGGTCCCGTGGTGTTGTTCCTCCATGGCTTCCCGGAGCTCTGGTACTCCTGGCGCCACCAGATCCTCTCCCTCAGCTCCCGAGGTTATCGCGCCGTCGCCCCTGACCTCCGTGGCTACGGCGACACCGACGCCCCTCCTTCAGTCTCCGACTACACCGTCTTTCACATGGTTGGTGACCTTATTGCCCTTCTCGACTCTATGGCCGTCGATAAGGTCTTCCTTGTGGGCCATGATTGGGGAGCTCTCATCGGTTGGTATCTCTGTATGTTTCGTCCAGAGCGAGTCAAGGCTTATGTCTGCCTCAGCGTCCCCTTACTCCGCAGAAACCCCAAAGTGAAGACCCTCGATGGCTTGCGTGCCTTATATGGTGACGACTATTACATGTGTCGATTCCAGGTTCTTATTTCACTCCTTTCTCCATTCCTCCAATATCTTTACCGGATCTATTTGTGGATGTTTTATTGTTTGTTGAAATATCGGTCAGTTGATCAGTGAGCAGTGTTAAATAGTTGTATCTCACAACCTATTCTAGTCTATATAAAGAGCCATTCATTTTATGTATAGGTGTGATGGGTCTCTCCCTAGACAAAGAGTAACATGGTTCTCTGTCAAGAGTTTTGGAATTAGTTCATTGTGAACAACACAAGATGAACATATTGCTCTTTGATCTGTGTTTTTTGCCTCACTTGTTATTTTCTGTCCAATTGGTATTATTTACATTTATCACCTGCTTTTTAGATGTTTCCCAAGGGTCCTAAATCGTAAGTAGAATCCAAATTACTGTAGATTATCACCAGAATTTACTTGATCATTCGGATATTTGAAACAAAGAAATATATGGTGTGTGAATAGGAGCCGGGCAAGGCGGAGGCGGAGATGGCCAAAGTTGGGGCTGAACATGTATTGAAGAACGTTTTGACGACTCGCAAAACGGGACCCCCCATCTTCCCAAAGGGGGAATATGGAGTTGGATTCAATCCTGATACTCCCCAGAACTTGCCGTCCTGGCTCTCTCAACAAGATCTTGCTTATTTTGTTTCTAAATTCGAAAAGACAGGCTTCACTGGAGGCTTGAACTACTACAGAAATATCAACTTGTATGTTCCTTTCTCCTTTCTACTTGAATTAATTTCTACTTTAACAATCCTGTTCAAGTTTTTCCCAGCCGGGAACCCGTTAGTGAATCTCCCAGCTTCTAAATGGATGGTTTAATACTATTTCCCTTTCTTTCTTTTCTTCTGGTTAAGTGGGCATTATTGCTGGGGAAGTTTACACAATCAGATTATTATTTCTTATGATATCAGAAGAACGATGATGGCTTGTTTTATGTTGGTAAATGCATTGCAGAAATTGGGAGCTGACAGCGCCATGGAGCGAGGCGCAAGTGAAAGTACCAGTGAAGTTCATAACGGGTGAGTTGGATATGGTATATACTTCTATGGGGGTTCAGGATTATATTCGTGGTGGTGGATTCAAGGAGCTTGTGCCAAATTTGGAGGAAGTAATTGTGCAGAAAGATGTTGGTCACTTCAACAACCAAGAAGCTGCGGAGGATATTAGCAACCACATTTATGACTTCATTAAGAAGTTCTGATGTTATTTATGACTTTTTATATCTAGGATATCCAGAATTTTCTTTAGGATCAATATCGTCCTAAAAGTTTTAAAAAAGAAGAAAGTCACTCAGTCAAAAATATTAGTTGGCAACGAAAGTTTGTTTGTTTTTTTTTTTTTTAATAATTAGGGTGAATTTGGCTCCCTTTTTTGACACTTCTAGGAGAGGGCGATATTAATCTTAAAAAAACTTTTAAATATTTACAACTTATGTGTGAAAGCTTTGAAATAAAACTGTACCTTGATCGGGCTTCGGCTCCCTTCTCTGCCCAATAAAAAACAAAAACTGTCCCTTGATCCTATCTAATAAATATACTTCCATGATAGATCACCGTTTATGTAGGTGTCAGTTCGTTAATCCCGAGTTAGTCATGGGCCATATTTTTGGTTCAATAATAGCCTTTCTACAATTTGTTGTTGAATTGAATAATGATTTGAATGAAGGTTTTTTTTGAAGCTATAAGATTCTCGGGATATTCTATGCGTATATATATATATAGAGCCATTTTAACTACTACTTTTAGATGTTAATATAATAGCTAGTTGACTAATCTTAGTAGATTAAAAGAATTAATTAAATTATTTATTTATAATAAATATGTATTGTCTTCTGTAAAATACTCTTGCTAATTAAGTGTCATTTGATGAAACATTTAACATGTATAAAAACTACCTTGAGAAAAATGGATAAATATAAAAGACAAGATGAATTGGGATTTTATATTTAAGAACAAATTGAAAATCAAATTAGTTTTTATATTAAAGAGTAAAAGTAGTAATTCATTAAAATTAAAAAAGGAGTCATTTTTAATTAATGTGTTAAATATGTGTGACTCTTTTATAATTATCCCTAACATCTAATGAGATATATATATTTTTTAATTTTTAACTATTATTGACTTTTTCCGGTGAGAAAATTGAACCTTAAGTTAAGGATATTTTTCTAAAAGGAAAAAAAAAAGTATTCAACACAAGGAACAAAACGGGCGGATCCTTTCGTAAATGATCAAAGCAAAATACTTAAAAAAATTATGGTTCCGTTTGGTAGGAAGCATTGAAAATAAAGAATTGGAATTGAGATTGCAACTAAAAAAATTTATTAAAAGAGTATCTAATATAACAGATTACTTGTTACATGGGACTAGCCAAACCCATATATGTGGAATTGGAGAATACCATGGGAGGAAATGGTATTCCCTAATCCCACCTCTATAAGTTTGTCTAATCCTATATAATAAGTAATTACTCATGCTAAATACTATTTTAATGATTTTTTTTAATTACAATCAAAATCCTTTATTTTTAAGGCTTCGTACCAAACGAGACCTACATGTTTAAGACCGGATAGAGCAACCCTCTTCTCCCCCCCCCTCCCCTCTTTCTTTTGGGTCTTCGGTTGCTGCTTGCTATTCTCCTGGGATCTTCATCTCCCTTTGTTTAAAGCCAGTGATGGTGAATATCACTATTATGGTTGTGGAGTCACACTTGGAAGGGACACTGTGCAAATAAAATTACTACCTCCCATTCTTAATGTAAAAACTAATTAGATATCATATTTGATACTAAATATAAGATTTTAATTTATTTTATTTTTCATATTTATAATTTTTTCTGAATTTTTGTCAACATTTTTTACCAAATTAATTTATTAAATTTACAAATTGATATAGAATCTAATATTTTCTAAGACTGTTTTTAAAAAATTATGTCATATTTATCACAATTAATATTTATTTAAGCTTTTTAATCTATCTAAATTAGTTAAATAGCTTTTATATTAAGAATTAAAAAGAATATCTAAGTTATATACATACTTCTAATAATTTTTATATGATCCAAATTTTTGAATTAGTCCTTTCCTTTTCATAAGATACTATTTGAGATTATCTGAATACTAAATATATTTTTATGAATTTTATCCATAATCAATTGCATTATCTTTTTCTTTCATATATTCTTATTCATATTTTTTTATTTGTTTTATCACTGTTTCTCTCTTACCCTCTTATTGATAATAGTACATTTGAAAGGAAAACGAAAGCACATTTTTTTTTACATATTCATTACTGTATTCGGACCTAATTATAAGACCTCGTTTGTAGACTACAAATAAAATCTTATAATTGGTACTGGAGATAGTATTTTTAATTAATGTCAACAAATTTTTTAAACCATGCAACCCGAGTATTGGGATCTTAAAGTCTGTTGGCAAAAACAAAGGGGATCTTGCAGACAGGAAAATGAGTAGGACGAGGAGATAATTTCAGTCACACATCTACCCTCCGTCCTATTGTAAGGCTCGACTCAGCAATGCACCCAAAAAACAGAAAAGAAAAAAGACCTCCGCAGCTGCTCATTGAGGCGCATGGGGAGAACCAATTAATGCCCGTTCCTGATCATGTTTAAAATTATTTAGAAGCACATTTTATAAAAAAGAGACAAGGTTCTTCTTTTACGTACTTACCTCATGTTTTATAAACCATCATTTAAAAGTCATTTATAATTAATTTCAAATGGGTCCTGATATACACTGAGTTTGACTTTAATTATATTTATTATTGATTTATTCAACGTACTTTTTTATTTTCCACACCTTTTCAGTTATTCTATTATCACCTCCAGCACAACAATATCTATCATTTTAGAGTTTTTTTTTTAAATTGTTACGATTTTGAAATTTAAAATTACTATTTTTGCACACTTTTGTCCTCAAGAAGTACTCCATTCCTGTTTTATTATAAGATTCAAATTTTTTAATCCTTCCATACCTTTTTATGAGATTCTCTTAGTTGTTGGAGGAGTTAAATGCATATTTACTAATTTTTTTAATTAATTTTTGAGTTAAGCTATATCCAATACCTTAAAGTATTTTCTGAGATGTATCCAACATCTTGAAGTATTTTGTGATGTATCTAACACTTCAAAATATTTTGTAGGTGCATTGAACACTTTGAAGTTTTTTTTTTTTTTTACTTTAATGCTGGATGCACCAAAAAATATTTTTGATTTTTGGATACACTAAAAAAAAATACTTTGAGGCATTAGATGCACTTAAAAATATTTTACGGTACTGGATGGATTTAAAAAAATTCGTTAAGGTGCTGGATGCATCATAAAATACTTAAGGATATTGGATGCACTTGAAAAAAATACTTTGGAATGCTTGATGCACCTTAACCCTTAATTTTTTTCATACATTTTTTTTGTTATTAGTCTCTCACATTACCCACTTATTAATAGATAATAAGGACTTTTTTAATAAAAAAAAATACATTTTTTACGTTTGTATTATTTTTAACTATTTTTTAAAAATTCTTTAAACCATACAGTTCGCCTATTGAAAATTTGAATTTTATAACAAGGGATGGAGGGAATAACAAACTTTGCAGGCTAAATAAATTCTGTAGGCATCAATTAAGGGTATTATGATCAATAAATATCATATTTAACTATGATTCAGGTTTAATAGCTTTTTTAAATTATGTGCACAAGTGCACAACTTTAAATAACAAATATTCAAAATAGACCTTTGGTAATAAAAAAGGCCTGCCCACATTACGTTTATTTAGAGAATTCATAATATCGTTGAATAACATCATCCATTGCATGATATTGACACGTAGGGGCATCTTCCTTCTTAATGAGTTTGCTTTTGCAGAAACAATGCATCGCATCTACTTTTCTTCAATGAAGTTTCAAAAAAAAAAAATTGAGAAAAATGTTTCTTAATATACATAGACAGCAATGTTTATATTCATATGTAAGCTGAGAATCATGAGGATTCAGTTCAAACTCACGACAATTAATTTGAAAATACTCTACTTTCTCTAATCTTTAATGTAAGGCCTAATTAACTAATTTAATTAGATTAAAAATATTAGTTAAATTAATTAATATGTTTTTTTTCAAAATACTGTAAACATCTTTTTTAATTTCCTTCCTTCCTCCTCTACTTAATTATTACTAAAGAATATTAATAGAGTTAATTGAAAAAAATTAATAAATATATGAACTAAGTCTTATATTTAAGACCTATATCAACTCTTAAATTGAGTTCTATATTAAGGACAGAAAGAGTATAATGATTATTTGCATTTGTTTTCCAAGTAAGCACTTGTCAGAGGAAATTGTGAATCCATTTGTACTTGAACAAGTTAGTGATGTGCTTTGGGTCGCTGTGAATGCTCCGAGATGGGTCCGTCCATGAGAATCACAATGAAGGAATGTTATCTGGCAACTAGAATCTCCATAGAAGTCAAAGACCAATGGATCCAGTGACACGCTATGTGTCTTTTGTGTCATCAGATTTGGAGTTCGATCCCTAACTCAAAATTCAATTAAAATAGAAAAGTTACATAAAAATCTGTACAATTAAGGAAATGGCTGTGCAGACTTGCTGGTTCCGCGTGATTTCTTCTATCCGTAGACCGAATTGGTCCCATACACATCCCTCATCCCCCCCCCCCTTTTTTTCCAATGTGATTTTAATGAATGGAATCATTGGCAACTACTATTCCTGTTCATGTCCTTTGATCTTAACAACAGGAAGATTTCTTGTGTACTACAGAACTTCGAAAGTTCGGATTGAGGTAAATGAGAAACAAGGCATAATTAATGAAGGGGATAAAGTAAACTAAGTTAAATATAGTTGTCCCCTGCTAGCTTCAAACTTGGCATAACTTAAGCCCACTCTTTCAAGGGAACTTGAATCATTTGGTAGAACTTAGAAGATTTTGAATCCATATTAGCCACCCGCTGTGAATTTGTCAGAGATATGACTTGGGTTGTAAGCAATAAATCAACCAAACTAACTCTTGACCTTGTTTACTAGTTACTATATAATAGACAAATTGGTTACAACCTTTTGTTTTTGATAGTACCCTTATAAGTTAATTTGAGTAATATTCAAATGAGTAGAAATACAATTAGTGACTCATGCAATTTTGATTATACATTGAGAAAGAATAAAATTAATAAGCTTCACATAATAATTTTGAAGGAAATAACATTCCTATCATTAGGAGTGGAAATAGACTAGACTAAATAAAGCTTAAACTAAATAGGCCTGAGCTTGCAGCAGAGATTTTAACGCGTAAGCCTAAACTGATATGCATGCTTTGTTTTATGCTCAAGTTTGACCCTTTAAAAGGCCTAACAAGATTTGAAGCCTTTCTAAAGCCTACTTCAAATGTAGGCCTTCAAATAAACTTAAAAGCCTATCTTTCCAAATTTATATATAACCCTTCAACCCTATTGCCTATGTTATGTCTTAAAAGTTGGAGATTCATTCTCATCTACAATATTAGTAAACAAGGGAATAAAATGCATGACAACAACAATTGTTTAAGTAAGAATAAGAAAAATCAATCATCTATTGATTAAGAGATACATTTTCTAAGATTAATAACCGATCACAACAAGTGGCATGCCAAACTAAATTTTACCTCTTTTGCTTTTCCCACATAAATTGGGACAAACTATTCCTATTGTGATTATACTATTCCATATTTGGACATCACTAAAATAAGGCAAACAACGCAAATCAAGGAGAGAGGGAATGAGCTAAGGTTGTCATTGTGAGCGATTGAAGAGAAGAGAGATAAAAGTGAATAACTAGGGTTGAGCTCATGAGCGAATAATGAGATATGAAACTTAGGATTAAGGTCAAGTAACTAATTGTATAAATAATTTGTTAAATTAACTTAAATTATATTATATATAATGGCATATAAAAGCGCAAATTTTTTGGGGGGGGGGATAAGCCAAGCCTGTAAACCTGTAAGCTAAACTTTGTGGAAATAGGCCTGAGCCTTGCCTGAGCCTAAGCCTGACCAATTTATTGAATAAACTAGGTTAGGAATACTTCCACCTACTTACGCCTCTACCTACCATGTAAAAATAGTACACAGGCTTAGATCAGAATACACACAAGAAAATGCAATTTACCAAGGATGAAAAATGACACGCAATTTGGAACTATGATTTTGTAGAAAAGACAATAGTACAGAAAATTCAACATAATATTGCTCCTGCAGCACTCTAGCTTCAACTACATATATACAACTCACTTGGAGTCATATTTTCTCGTTAAATTTATCCTTACATAATAATGCATCAGACATGCCACTGTCTAGTGACTTCAGGATTTAAAATCATTTATGCATGTTTACAGATTAATATTTCAGTCTTCTCTAGGGGAAGCTCAGTGATTTTTTGTAGTGATCCTGTCATCAGGAAGCATAATTCTTCACCATTAAAATCTCACCACATAATTTTTGCGGTATTTGCTCCAATTTGTTCCCCTCTTGCCATGCTTGCCCGACTGAAACCCCTGGTCCTAGATGTCGGACATATATCACAACTTGATCATTGAAAGGGTAAGGATGTTTAACTGCAAATACAAATTCAATGACGTGAATACTCACTTATCTGCTATATTGTACGAAAAAGAACCCTGAAGAAGCACAATAAAATTAGAGAAGAGCCTAGAAGAAAATAATGCCAACTATCCAGATATGAGACTTGGATCTATTACCAAGAAATTTTCTTCAACGAAGTGGGTTTTTCAACATCTACACATTCTTGGCCAAAATAAGGGGAAAATCGACACACCAATATCATGCATGAAACTCTACAACTTGATGGCTCCATGTACATTAATGTGTAATCAGGATGGTCATAATACAATGATAGGACTACACGTCTATGAGGATTAATAGATAATGAATACTTTGAATATCAGATATGAAATTGTTTGCATAAATATTATGATTAACAATACATGTATGGACAAATAAAATGTACCCTCACCTGGTCTTGGAAAGCCTTGTGGGAGTTCTTTGATGTCATGTAGTCCATCTCCAAATTCATATGCTTGATCACAGGGCTGCTCAGTTGACATCACTTCCTTGAGTTGCCTCACCGTGAAATACAAAGGAGCCAAAGAATTAGCAAATGTGGCCAAAGCTGGTCCACCTGGATTGTTCCAATATCCATAAAAAATGTCACTAACAAGGATGTGGAATATCTTTGCATTTATTGGAAATATTTTCAAAGATAAGGTAAGTGAGTAGGAGGTGATTGTATGGCCTTTATTAGCCTCTGTTGGCATTTATTCTCTTGTTTTCCCTCTGTGTATATATTTGAATGTACCATGCTATTCAAATCAAGAAGACAAACACGTTCTCTCAAATATTCCACAAAGGACAACAAAACTTAGGCTTGAAACTTGAATGCAACCTAAGGAGTAGAAAACAAGCTAATCCAGATAAATGAATTTCAAAGATTCTTAAACCACAAGTACTTTGGAATATGCCAGGAAGATCAGCATAACTATTCAAATCTCTTCATCTAAACTTCCTAAAAAACAACATTATAACATAGAAAAGCATGCAATTTTTAATTGAAGATAGCAAAAACAATAAGTATGGTTTGACTTTTCCTCCTTCAGATGATCAAGTTACCATATATCAATCCATTAAATCTTTATGCAAAAAGGAAGTGCAAGTTCTACTTCCTGGACAGATTCAATCTTCCATACAAAGATTGAGAAGTTTCTTCACATCTTACCTTTTGTGCTTGTATATTTATAAATAACAGTTCTGCCACATTCTTGAATCATTATAAACAAGTCAGGCACCATGTAGATGTAAATATAATGTTCCCAGAAGCATAAGATGATTACTGACTATTTATTTAAAGTTATGATCACTGGTCTTTATTTTTAATGTTTCTGATGAGAATTACAGTAACCACATGAATTAGCTTTAACACTCGAGGGAGTTGAGGACAATATGACATTCCAATCACTTTACCGTAATTTTTTTGGTCTGCAAGTGATTGCATTAAATGAGACATGGAAGTGTAATTCAGGAGCAGAAACAAGTAAAAAAGCAATGTATATTTTAACAGAGACATATATCTTCACCAAAAATAGTAATTGTGCACAAGCATGGAAAGAATTATACCAATGAGCCGTCCATAGGCCTTCCCATCCTTCCATGAAAATATAACCTAAAACAGGAGCAAAGAATAAACCAAACTCTTCAAATATATTTAGAAGAGTGTATAGCATGAAGGGAACAGTGAAATTACCTTTTTGAAGAATTTAATCCAGGAAATTAGCATTGGCCCTATTCAAGAACGTTTAATATTGAGATTAAAAAGAATTACAAAATTGATGGCCTTAGATTTTCAAGTTTAATGCATGCAAGCAAAAAGAGAATACTCATGAAGCTGACGAATATATTCATATGAAGAGAGACCCATTGGAGTACAATGGCAGCTTATTTGATAGAAGAGGAAGATGCCAAAAGAACGCAGATATAAAAGTAGATTGAAAAATTGAACCTATGACTGCAAAAGAATTTATGATGCCAGTCATATCAAATTGGAAAAAACTTTGCTCCAGTCAGAAGACACTGCTTGTGTTTTGATCAAGGCAAAGACACTTGGATCCTGGTTTAATTGTAAAATAAATTAGTATTAGCGAACAAGATTACAAGACCTTTCTTAGAAACTTGCTTCATGTGCACTTTAGAATGCTCCCTCTGAAATCAATAATGTATGAACCAACAGAATGCAATCTATTAAACTGCATTATGACTAAATACCAACATCAGTGTATGAATTTTGACCAACCTCCACTTGTACGGCAGTTGAAATATTCAAGCATCACACCATTTCCGTCAGATAATAATGTTGACGCACTTTTCTTTGCTAACTTGGGATCCGCATATCGAGTGCCAGCTATTTGCCAAGCCCTTGATATGAGTCTGCATAAATCTACCAAGGATATCAATTTAACATGTAAAAGACCAATACAAAGTATATATTCCACTCTCACTTATACTACAAAAATAGAAATTTCATAGAAGTCATAGAGAGACCTAGGTTCTAACAAAAGCAGCAGTCGATGACGCCTTTCCTCAGGAACATCTTCAATTTTTTTCCTGAACATGCAATGCTGGAGGTAAGAGAATATGTGACGGAGAACAGTTTCTCCAGATTTTAAGACCGCTAAAGACACCATATTACTGAACCAGTAAGATAGTTACACAAAACTCCTGTGACTTACCAGGAGTAGATGAATCAAGCTAAGCAAATAAATGTTTATTTCAGTTTAGCGAACCGGCATTAAAATGATCTCTTTTGAAGTGATACCTACATACTTAACTCATTGATGAAACTGAATGAAAAATCACAAATCTTGTGATCTCTATTTATATTTTGTGTAAATGTCCACAAGTGAACCATGTTCATCTAATAGTACGAAAGTCAGTCACCTGCGCATCCATAGAAGGGTAACATAAACTATGCTATATTGTAAATGAAGAAAGGCTCAGATAACTCTCATGGCTTAGTTCAGTCAAGCTTCTGTATTTAGAGAAGCGAAGCAAGAGATAATGTCATTAACAATTAAGAGGAAAATTTGTCATACGCAAACGAAAACCCAAAACCAAAAATGATTCTTTAAACATAAACCATCTCCTCTCATGTCAAGGGGAACAGATGACCAACCAATGAAAAACTAAAGCAAACTGACCAAAGATACGCAGCAGGATTGTAAGAATCTGGGTCCAAAGGAATCAACTCCTTGGGGGAATCAAGAAACGACACCACATCCTGCTCATCCAAGTAAGCCTTCCTACCACTTGGAAGAATTTCGAAGGGCTTATCATCCCAAGCCGACACATACTCTTCGTTACTTCTAGAGAGAGCAAGAGTTACACCGCAAGTAGACCGTAGTGGAAGTCCATTTCTGTACAGTGTTACGCCTACAAAACAAAAAGGTTGAATTTTTGTCCAACTCACTTTTCGACAACTCCAACAAATTACGTTGCGTATTTGTTCTCACCTCTGGATTGCCCAAACCATACATGCCGGAAACTAATATGGCGGGAAAAGGATAAGAGGTTGGAAGGAGACGTCGGAAGGTGCCGGAAGCAGCAGCTTGTTGCCGTCGCCACCTCCATTTCCAACGGCGACGATGAGAACGGAAGCGGGAGCTATTTGGAATTGTATTTTGTACGCATGTCGATGTCGTTTAACCCATCAAAACGACACCTAAAATAGCGTCGTTTCTTCCAACTAACTGTTCCAACCTCTTTGCCGTTTGTCCAATTTTTGCTTATCGTCTCGTTTCGTCATTGTCATCTTTTTCGTTGTTCTTCTCTCTAGTCATCAGCTCATTGAAAAGCTATACTAAACTGTTACTCGCAGATTTTCTCCAATTATCCAATCGTTTCTCGAATTCATACTGATAAATCAATTTTTTTTTTTTTTGTGAAAGAGATTTCAGTTTTCCGCAAATGCTGCTTCAGACGCAATTTCTTGCGACTCATTTTGCGCCTTCGGTCACTTCCTCAAAACCCTTAAAAGAAACCCAGATTGGTGCATTCTGTTCTCCAAAACGGGTTTGGTTGCGGAATTCTTCATTTAAGAGTTTGAAATGCTCGCTTTCGACTTTATCAGAGCCATCCCAGTTGGAATTGAGGAGTCATAAGCCGTTTCCTGCTGAAGTTTCAAGGACTATAATGGAGTTGGCCACTGCAGGCACTCTTTCTACATTGAGTCAAGAGGGTTGGCCCCTAGGTATCGGCGTGCGATTCGCAGTTGACCCGGAAGGGACTCCTGTATTGTCCTTGAACGCTATCAATAAGCACTTCTCTTTTGACCCGAGGGTGAGCCTTCATGTTCAGGTGCGTTCCTCTCTCTCCTCTCTATCTCTCTCTCTCTCGCGTGTGTGTGTGTATGTCAAGATAGTTTTTATGAATTGCATTGTGACGAATTTCTTGTTCCGTTGATCAGTAACGCAGTCTGGATTACGGACTCCCCAGTGTACCCTACAAGGGACCCTTAACAAGCCAGAGGATAGAGTCCTGATGAAGGTAATTTCCATCGTATGAGAAACTTATATTTCAAATGGATTCGGCATCTGTTAACTTGAAAGATACATATTGATATTAGTAGTTTTGTTCGTGTTGTCTGTACTCATTAATTTTGTTTTGATTTCTATAATTCGGTGTCAGTAGCTTAGTCTAGCTCTAAGTAAGATGTTTTGTGTCTCAGACTCAGCAGCTGAACTAATTTGCTAAACTTGACCATATGTTGTGTATCACTCTAGCTTGTTTGTTAATAACATACTGCAATGCTGTTTTCTTTGGCACTGTTTGGTTACAGGAACAACCCGCTAGTGTTCAATTTTGGTTTATTTGATCCTCTAGTCATAACGTTTTTTTACGTTAATTGCCATTATGCAGCGTCTTATTTCGTTATGGAAAAGGAGGTTTGGTGAAGAAGTCAACAAAGATTTGGTTTACATTGTTGCTGTAGAGAAGGTCCTGCAGATGGAAGATTTCAAGGAGGTGTGACAGTTTTTATATTTACTCGTTTTGAAAATGGTTGTTTTCTTAGATTCAAGTATGCTACTTTTTTGTTGCTGTAATTTTCATTAATATTGAGAGTTAGCTTCTTGTCTAACACCAAATCTTTATTATGTTTTTCCAGGATGGCGAATGGGTGAGATCCTCAGATTATAAAAACGCGCAACCTGATCCTCTTCGAGATTGTGCAGAGAAGTTGGTGGATGAAGTTACACAAACAACATGGAAGATATTACTCGCTTTTGCAATGTATATGTTGATTTGGATTTTCAGGTTAGCTCTAAATCTTTTGTGTGGTTACTTGCATATTGAAATTTACGTTATCCCAAGTTTAGCAATTGCTCCTATATCACTGATCTAAACTCTGTTTATTGACATTCTTTACCTCCCACAGAAACAGCTTATTTAAGTTTTGGTATGCAAATTGACTTAATGGCACACCTATGTTTGGGATTTGTTTTTAGAAGTTCTGCATAGAATGACCTTTGCAGTCCGTTTGATTAATTTGCTAGAAAATGGATCATTTTTTCATTGCATAAAAATGACATATACAATATTTATATTTGTCAGTATTATTTGATTCCTATGCATTGTACAGAATCCTTATGAATGATGTGACTTTATTTAAGTTTTACATCATACAGTATAGTTGAGTATACATCGATAGCAACCCCCATTGTATATTGCCTTTTCTATTCAGTAGAACAAAAAGTTTTTTTTTTTTCCGTCTACAAAATTACTTTTTCTATTTTATTTTTTTCTTCATTTCATTTCAATTTGCATACCAAATGGTCTGCTGGAGTCTTGAGGAGAGTATGCATGGGAAATCGAGGTCACTTTCATGATTTAGAAGATGATTGGTGCTCACCAAACTAACTATATTGTCTTTTCATGTTTGCCTCACAAGGTCTCCGAGGCAAATGATATGGGTTGACCGCCTGGGCTTTGACATGCGTCTCAGCTCCCCTGAGAAAGGCATGTTCGAGGTGCGCATTCCTTTTCCCAGAGAAGTCATCGATGAAAAAGGTGCCAAGTCAACATTCAATTGTATGTCACAAATGGCATGGGAGGTGGAAAAAAACTTCCATGCTCCAGATTTTGAGAAGGTTAAACGTTTGAAGCAAATAAAGTCCTGATTCTTCATTTTAGTTGATTTTGATTACCCATTCTTAAATCCTTTATCAAATACCCCCCACTTATTAAAATTGTAATCTACCAAGACAGTTTACGTTTTTATTGTGTAATGATTCATTCAAGGCTTTTGATGCTCAGATTATTATGGACTGGCTGCTAACCCAATCTAGTTGGCGCTTGTATTTTTCTTTTGGTGATTGTCTTGTACTCACATACATCCTTCTTGTGGAGTGGACTTCCTTTTTCGGATTAGATTCAGAAGAAAATTGAAGAAACGGATATGTACTGTATGAATGGAGAAATGCCATTCACTTTCGAGTTCCAACTCTTGTCTAATCGTTTCTTTTCTTTTCTTGAACTACATTTGAACTTTTGATTCTTGTATCCTTAATTTTGTTTGTTGAGTAAAATCTCAGTTTGCAACCCTTTCAAGTAATATGTTTCTAGATTAGGTCCTAGGTAAAAGTAACTGCGTCTCAAGTTAATCACTCAAAGATATTTCTCAGTTTGTTTCTTCACAAATAAATTAGTATTCATAATGTGATTCTATCAAAAGAATGTCTATTTTGTGAGGGACCACTGATGATAATGATTTTATTTTTAAAGAATATATATATATATATGTGTTGAATGTACGTATGTATACATATGCATATACGTATATGAGAGGATGTGTTTGATTCAAAAAATAGTTTCATAAAAAATTAAATTAAACAAATTATTATGACCGCTTAAAATGTAACTTTTTTCCTTGTTAATTTTTTGGTTGGGGTCTACAAATTGTTTTGTCAGCTTTGGGCATATCCTTTTGTCCCTTTAGCATGCGGGAGTGACCACTTGAGCCAAACATTGTGTTCTATGTCAAACACGGGAAAA